TATTCAATTATCAACAAAGATTTCATCAATACAACTCACAAAGCATTGTTACTAAAATTATTAAATGATTCTACATAAAAAGATTGTAAAGTTTTTGAGTAAATCATCTCCGATTGATCAATGAACAAGTCATTGTCAAAAAGAGGGCAATATGTCAAGAGATGAGTTGCCATCTCCTAACAATATGCCAAACCTATTGGGAGGATGACTTAAGGATGAAGCTCCCTAAGATGCACCCTAATTCTATCTAACTCATTTTTATCGCATGATAACTGCCAAAGATGATTTGATGACTCATTTCATTAGTTTCTAAACTTTATAAGAAAATTTAAAAGATTATTCATGTTGTCTTTGTCCAATGAGAGTGACATGACTTAGTCGTTGTATAATAAATCACATAAATTTAAAATTTATAAAATTAAAAATATTAATTTTTAGATATTTAAAAGTATTTATGAATAAATATATCAATTATAATTCAATAAAAGTTCCAAAAATAGTGAAAAAAGGTCAATGTCAAGTAATTTTTTCTTTTTTTTCAAAGAATATAATTTTTTATAAATTTTAGATTAAGAAATGAAAATAAAAAATATTTAAAATTTGTGAAAAAAGAAAATAAGGGTGTTGATGTCATGATGATGTCAATGTCTAATGAACACGAATACAGTAGAAATAGAGTTTCACCTGATGATTCTTACATAAGTGATTAAAAATGATTTAATTGGTTAAATTAAGATTTATAAAAACCAAAAGAATTTTAATTAAATAAAGAGTAATTTAGAAAATTTAAATCACACAAATTATCTCTAAATGAAGTAAAAATTAAGTTGAAAGTAGGAAAAATAGAGTTATGATGTCTTGGCGTCGATGTATCGATGATGCACTAAAATCTTGAATATTTGAGAAGATTATTGTGCAATGTCTACAACTTCGAAAGCTCTCTTTAGATTAAGATGATGTAACAATCTCTAGATATTATTGCTAGGTTTAAAGATGAATAAAATGAGTCATTGAATCGTCTTTAGAGATTGTCACCTAGCAAAGCGGAAAAATAGTAATTTTGTAACTCTCTGACGACTATCACCCGACGAAGAGGAACTAGATAGAGGTGGGATGTGTGTCAAGGAACTTCATCCTCAGGTCTGCGTAGTAAGAGGAGGCTCTTCATCACATTTGATATAGTCTCAAAAGGTGACGACTCATCTCCTAATTGATCGTTCTCTTTCCGACGACGGCTTATTCGTCGATTAATTAGAGATGCTTTACTTGATAGATTCATAATTTTTTTATCATAAATTATTCAATAATTTTAGTAATAATGTTTCGTGAATTATATTGACGAGATTTTTGTTGATGATCGAGCAATTCTAGCAACTTAATCCTTCACTAGTAATTGTAGAAAAGTTACGATTTAATTAGATAAAAATATGAGTTTTTGCTCTAGTAGGATTCAAACTTGCACTGGTCCTCCACCTACATGAAAGACAATGAAATAAGTACGCAAATATCCTTGTCAAATGATGTCATCAAGTTACCTCTCATTGATAAAGAAAGGATATTGTAGGTATTAAAATCTTCAAAACCTTTTCGAAGAAGGTGTGACATGAGTTTAGTCTTACATCAGTTGTATGTTAAATTTTGGGATGAATATATAGTAATATCAGATTTACAAGTGATGATTCTTTTTCTTGCGTGTATGACCACTCCTTACCCCACAATTAGTTGGCCACCGATAATCAAAGAGAACTCTTGAGGTCGTGGACATCACATTATAATTATTTTGAACACACAAAATTCTGACAATTGCTATCGCGAGGCTAAAACTATACTTTTGTTACTTCTAACTTATTTTTTACTTAAATTATTGATACCTTATGTGATTTTAAGTTTTGAAATTCTCTTTCATTAAATTATAATTATTTTTATTTTATATAATTAAATTTGACCTATAAATCATCTATACTCACTTATGTAAAAATTACTAGACATAACTCAATTTTTGCCTAATTCTTATTCGTCAAGCACTGATGTCATCCTAATATCTGCATCCTTATTTTCTTTTTTTTGTTATTTTGTAATTATATTTTATATTCATTAGTTACTTTAAAACTCAAAAAAATCATATTCTTTTTTTAAAATTCTATAATATTATCTGATATTATCTTACATTTTTATGATCAATTGGAAATTCTTTACTATTTTTAGAACCTTTTATCAAATTATAATTGATTTATTTATTTTAAAAATATTTATAAAAATCTAAAAATTAGTATTTTCTAGTTTTATAGATTTTAAATTTACTACAAGGCCATACCACTTTGTGACTACAAAGTGGTTGCACTAAATGCAATCATTGTCTAGCATTGGGCAAACTAGTCCCTAGTCATCCCAATGTGACCAAAGAGGTTAACTTAATAATGCTAAGGTGAGGGATACATGGTCTTTGGGTCCCTCTATATACAAATGGGCCATTTAGGATGATTAATCCCATATCTGGTGTGAGATTAGTTATCTGATCACTAGATGATGCTATACTAGTGATGTCACCTATTTTCCTTACTTTTGCCTTCAATACCAAGTCTCCTTAAACCTCCATTCTGCCATTGTGCACATGTAACATGTTGCCGTGCACAACACATCGTGCTGTTGTGTGCTTGTGTGGTGCTACCATTCACCTGTGATGTGCCACCTTGTCATTGCACACATGCCTTACATCCTGCTTGTTTGTAGTGTGGCATGTGTTGGTGACAAGGTCTGTCCCCACTAAGTGGTCCTAGTAACATTCTCCCCCACTATTCAGATTGATAATCCCTAAACTTGAAGTGTTGTGGGCCTTTAAGTAGGTATAAATCAAAATATTTATAAATTTAATTTCTAATTATTTTTTAGTATATGTGGTCAGTTAGGATTGTATGTATTTAGATTGGGTCTTAGAATAGGGTAAATAGTCAATCTTTGGTGATGAATGGAGATGAGATGATAAGAATCGAGGGTCTGAGGTTGGGAGATAGAAGAATTTTTAGATCTAGGGAAAATTTCGAGATCTAAGGGTAGAAAATTAGGAGAAATGTGTGGTGATGGGTTCATGTATGAAAGAGGACTAAACCCTGCACTAGATTTTGATTCCTACTCCTATTTGGTGCTGAAGTTGATAGGTAGTCATGCTGTGTTAGGATTGAATACTCACTTTAGAGTCTTCTTTGCCTACCTTAGGCTCTAATCATCTATAGATGAGTGTACCTCCTTTCCCTTGTAAGCCTAGACCTACTTGATAGACTCTTCTCTCAGTCACTCAAGATTTGCTATAGAAAAACTTCATTCAACCTAGGAGAAAGAAAGAGGGATCCTTGAGGGTATTGTCCTATGGTCAGCCCTAGTTTGGAACCTCAAAAAATATCAAAATAGGATAAGAGATTTACAATAAATGCCCATGGGATTTTTTCCTTTTTACCCTTCTCAAGTCTAGTGTCATCAGCTCCTCTAAAGTTTTTTTTTAGACACTCTTAACTTTGATTCCACTGCTTAAGATGCTGAAAGGTTCCACATGATCGCTCCATCATGTGGGTCTTGGGATGTAGTTCTCGCTTGGTTGCTCCCATGACTGGTCCCTTGGCTGTGGTTCTTGCCTAGTTGCTCCAACATACTGGCCTTGGGGTGTGGTTCTCGTCTAGTTGCTTTCATTGAGTAGACCCTTGGTTGTGGTTCTCACTTGGTTGCTCCTACATGCGGACCTTGGGGTGTGGTACCCACCTGATTGCTTAGTGAGTTGACCCTTGGCCATGGTTCTCACCTAGTTGCTCCAATGAGCGGACCCTTGGCTGTGGTTCCTGACTGTTCACTGGTTGCGAACACTTCGCTGTGAGGGGTGCACCTTAAACCTAGCTATTCTAGGCCTATTACTCTTTTGGGTTGTGCCCAGGTCTTTGGGCTCTCATTTGGGCTAAGTTCTCAAATTTTCTTGCTCCATAAAATTTACCTAAGTTCTGCAGAACTAGTAACTCAAAAAAGAAACAATGGTTATTAGAAATCAAGTGAGATTAATCCATAGAATTCAAGTGGATCTCAAAAATAGAAAACTTAGATCATTGTGCATGGAATGCACATGCAAGCATGTAATGTTAATATACATGTTTTTTACTCAATTTATGAAGTAATTTTTGGATGAATGATTCATGCACTCATAAATATATCCATATTATCACAAAACCCAACATCCTTGTCATATGTTGTCAACTATGGTAATCCTTGATTAACTCATCGAACTACTATAGGTCCACATCCTTCTCCCAAGTAGCTGCCCATTGAGACTCACCTACCCACTTGATCATGTAGAAATTATGGTGGAAATAATTCCGCCCACTAAAATCAATCACTTGATCCAAGATATCCTTCACTTGTGATGAATAGTGAGACTACATAGGTGACAATCTTCTTTGGTAGTGCAATAAGCTTTCATTAAGGAGATGTGAAAGATAGGCTACATCAAGAGATGCTATGGTAGTTGCAACTAATATGTCACATATCTCACATGTGCTAGGATTTGGAATGATTCATCAAACATGGGGAATAGATTGCTGTGACATCTCTACATTGAAGTATCTTGTTTATTAAGTATATTCATAGTATTACTCAGTCACTAACATCACATTTGACCTCCCTTTGATGATAGTCTACGTTCTTGCTCATTCTACATGTTGCCCATGCTAGGGCCTCACAAGCTTCCTTGATGATGTTTTGTCATTGCTTGATGAAGTAATAGGCAGCTATGAGGTATTTCGGTTGCCTCTACTTCATCATTTCTAACAACATCAATGGTTGTCAGATTATAGTCAACTGAAAATGTGAGTGTCTAGTGGAGATGCATTGTTGTTGGGCTGGAAATAGCCGCCCACAATGAGGGCTAACATGCATTGTTGTCTCAGGTGACACACATGCTGTGCATTGTGGGTCTTTGAAGGAAGACATTGTAGAAGATGTCCTCTTTGGGCCTTGTAGGGACTTTATCCCTTAGCATAGAGGATTCCATCTTTCATCCAAAACCAACAAGTTAATAGAATAAGGTCTTTAGCTGCTAGGTCCATGGTATAAGCCTCTTATATAGCATTTAACATGTTGTTAGCACTTACTGTGGGGGTGGCTAGTTCATCATGGGGCTCCTTTAACTCAAGGCATCTACAACCACATTAAGATGGCCCAATTTATACTAGAGTCAAAGATCATACTTGATTAAGAAGTCATGTAATTGCACTTACTTAGGGCTCAGCTTTTTTGGTGAATTGAAGTAGTCAATGGTGACAGTTTTAGTTTGGATGATGAAGGTGTTGCCTAATAGTAACATCACACTCATAAGCAATGTATGACTATTTTTATTTCTTTCTCATGGGTGGAGTATCTCTGCTCTATATTACTTAACTTTCAACCTTCAAAGGCTAATAGATGTTCATTTTGCATGAGGACCCTGCCAATAGCTACCTCTGATGCATCATTTTTCACTTCAATAGCTTAATAGAAGTTCGATAGTTGAAGAACTAAGTCTTTTATGATAACAAATTGTAGGTTGTCAAACACTTTTTGATATCTCTTAGTCCAAGCCTGCCATCAATTCTTTATGAGGATTTCTATCAATGGTGCAGCCAGTTGTGAGAATCCTTCAATGAATTTTCATAAGAGTTAGTGAGCCCCAAAAATAATCACACTTTAGATACTCCCTTTGGTCTTGGTCATTTATCGATTGCAGCCATCTTCTTTTGATCCATCTAGAACCCTACATCCCCCACAACATGACCAAGAAATTGACTCTGACTTGCCTATTTAACATAACTGACCCTTAATTGCGAAGTCCACATCAAATATGACATCAAAAGTGCCATTTATAAAACCAGAAAGTTTAAGGAGTCTTGCCATGTGCCGGCTTCTGCTCTACTTGTCATGTCATCACAATGGGGGCTTTTACTTCCAAATTCACAGCCTTGACTTGCTGGTTTAATTGGACCAAGTTCAATCCCAAACACTTAACATAATTGATCCTAAGTCAACTATTGCCCTAGTTGTAAAGTTGATCAGCATTTTTATGAAAAGTAATCTTCTTAGCTTTACTAGTATAGCGTTGGCCTACATCATATTCAATCATTGGATGTTGTTCAAGTTAAGTATTATTAGGTTTGATGTGGCTAAGTGAAAAATGAAGAGAGAGGGTAAATTGATTTATTACGTCTCATCATTGTGTATATATGTCGACACACGTTTTAACATCATTTATGAAGTCTATATGTAAATCAATTTAATACTCTTATCTTCGTTGCATAGTCTCTCTAATTTCTTTTTCTCTTACTCTCAATAATGATGTACACAATTTAGACTACATCTAGTACTAGAGGATCACTCTACTAGAATTTTAATATTTTCTAATGAAAATATTATTAATTTACAAGCTCAACGCACTTAAACATAATTTTCCAATCTCCACAAAGATGTCACGCCTCACGAGCAAGTCTAGACCTATAGTATGTCTACTTAAGTCAAGGTACAATTATCCTCAAATAACAATATCTTATACAAGGGAATTATAACTCTCACACCTCAGTGCTTTAGCTTTGCCATCTTTTCACCTATCACCAAGGTTACCATAGGGCCTGATCGAGACAAAAAAAATTTAGCACACTTATTTGATTTGAATATTGTCATAAATAATCAAGTAAAATAAAGTTTTGATTTCTTATTTAAAACAAAAAGTCATTTTATTGTAGAATGTTTAGTTGATCTTCTTCTTGTACCCGTGTGAGTGATTTAGATGAAATATTTTTTTGTTCAGTATTAACCCTTTTTATCTTAAACTCATTTTCTTGCACTCAATAGATTCATGTCATTTTAGTCTCTAAAAAATAGTCACTATTAATTGTACTTCATTCTATTGCTACACTAGCACTAAGATGAACTTTAATTATTTTTACTTTTAAATTTTCTACTTTAATGATAGTTATTGGGATATATTTTGTGATGATTTGTAACTTTTGATGATACTTTCTCTTTTAGAGTTTTGTTTAAAGAAAATTATTTGGCTTGTCTTTAATGCAGATCTTCTGTTGATGAGTTACCATATATAATTTGTACTTCTGACCTTTGGCCATACTTTTACTCAGATCTTATAGCTCATAGGTATGATGTAGTCATTAATTTGTATCTAGAGATACGAAGTCAATGAACAAATATATTTATCTTCAAGATTAGACTAAAATATTATTGTTGAGCATGTTGTTTAGTCCACGAACTTTGATGATGTGTGATCATCCAAAATGTGTGAGGTTCACCTTTAGTTTTTGTTTACTATAACACTTCTAAGTTTTTTGTAGGTGGTCTTTGAAGTTCTATCTTGATATTCGTGTTATTTACTTAACAAATGATTTCTCTTTTACTATTAGGTTAAAACTTGATCATTTCTACTTTGTCATTTTCTCCATGTAAAACTCAACATTATGTAAGTTTGAGTAAACATGGCGACATTTTCTCTACCTCTTTCTCTACTTTTTGTAGACAGTCTAACTCAATTACCATGTTGATCTTAACTTCGAGTCTTACTTTAGTCACTAATTATATATGTTTACTTTGAAAATTTTGACCTACTTTCTATGTTATCACTTCAATACTCTTTATTTCAAATTTTATCTATAGTTTAATTTGGATACTTCAGTCATTATTTTTTTGCTTCCACATAGCTTGCTTCTTAATGTTTGAATTCCATGCATTTTATTATGTGTACATGATATTTAAGGCATTTTTCATAAAAATATTTCATCTTTCACATTGCTCAGATGTTACATTCAAATTTCATTGGTGACTTTGATTTTTTTTTAAATATACATGATACTTCGCCACACGTGTCAACATGGGTTGTGTTATATTTATATTCAGATAATATTATGCTACATTACTTCAATACAAAAAAATATCTTATGGGCATAATTCTTTGAATTCAGTGATAAGATCATGTAAAATATCATCAATATATGTAATTCGAATATTTGTCAATAATATTTGTCTAATAATGAAAATTATCATGATGTTTATAGATAAATTTATTTTAATTAATTCAAGAATTATTTATCAATTATACCTACTATATGTGAGAATGCTAAGAGCATCTAAACGTACCTCTTCAATCATCGACAAGGGTCCTCTTATGGCAGCATCAAGTTGAGTTGACCCCTTGTCATGTGCTTGTCCACTCAATCAGCACATTGCACACTCTTATGAGAACTAATATAGATATGGCAACCCTTCCACTGTGGTCCTTCAATCTATAGCTGTGCACCTCCTAAGGGTCTTTGGCCCTAAGTAATGTGCTCTCGCCATCCCACACCTCATAGGGCCGATCCCTCATGGTTCTAGCTATTACCATGGCCTCAACCTCCTTAGTTGGCATCCCTACTTGACTCTAGTCATTGGTGTTGATGTCAAAGCTTGTTTTGACCCCACATTTCTTATCTTTTAGTGAAGCAGTGGAGCTTGTCATCTCCATTCATCCTTAGTACCTCTAGTAATAACATAAAGAATCTATCAATGTATTTGCAATTGGACCCATTGTACTTCAACTATTTCACAACAATTTTAATTACTTGATTATAGTTAGTTGAATGAAATTTTTCATTGATTTCTTTGGTGAGCTCATCCTAGTAAGTCACCCTAATCGAGATAGGACCTTAGACCTTGGTCACAACCATATCCTCTTTTAAGAAAGTGTTGACATTGAGGTAGTGGTGTATACTTATCATTGTGTTTAAATGTCCATTATTTTATAATGAAGACTTAATAAGATATTAGTAGATGTAAGTCTCAAATCAAACACAAGAGATTGATTAATCTATCATAAAAAACTAATTTAATTTATATATAAAACTATTTTAATATTTTATCACTATTTAACAGAAATAATAAAATAAAAGGGTGAGGTGAGAAGAACAAAAGACGAGGAGTGAAGAAAGGAAAGAAGAAAAGAGAGAAAAAATAGAGCTCTCACAAAAGAGAGAAGAAATCAATCAATGGAGAGAGAAATGTCTCATGGGAGAGAAGTAGATCAATCAATGGAGAGAAAGAAAGAGAGATCAATTGAGAAAGAGATCTCATGAGAGATGGAGAAAAAAGAAGAGGCCTCACAAAAGAGGGAGAGAGAGAAATAAGATATTAAAGAAAGAGAGAAACATAGTCAACTTAGTTTCACGGTGACCATGATTCTTGGACAAATGTGGTTGAGAATTCACACATATGACATAATGTCCATTGTAGGATCTACCTTATCTAATGATGTGGTCTGTTGAGCATCACTAAATTATACTATGCTCCAGACCACTACCCCAAAACAAACAAGAACTTTTAGTCCCACATCAGAAGCTTTTCATTGATTAAACATAATATATATCAAAGTTATGATATCTCAATAGAGATCTCTTGTCTTGAAATAAAATAATATTGAGGACCATCTTGGGAGAAGGTAAAAGGTGGTCCATCTTCATGCATACACGTGTGTATGATGATCCTTGCTCCATAACCTGTTGGGCACTGAGACATGGCAAGAGAGTGGTGCACATGTGTGCAAAGTGGGTCCTTCTCTACTCAAACCCAACTTGTGGCTCCCCTCAATCTAAGTCTACTAACTCAAGCACAATTCTCCTTCAAGTCAACTACTGAGTGCTTACTAGTGGGTGGCAATATTTTTATAATATATTTTTATGTTTTTTCTAAAAATTAAACATTATGTTATCTTTTAACTTCAAACTTCTTAATTTAACACTATATTATTATAATTTTTCTACAAGTTAACACAATAATAAAATAATAAAACTAATTAAAATATGAAGAAATATAACTTTAACAAGTAACATTAAAAGTCTCATAGGAAGTTCTCAATCAACATTATGTTTTACGATTTGGAAGGTTTAGGTTCAAGCAACTTCACCCTCTAGGGACATGTGGGTGGAGCTTGTTTCTACTACCTTTTGATGTCTATTGTTAACATTAGATTTTTTGTATTTAAATTATTTAATGTATTTATTTTCATGTGTTAAGTTTTAGAAGACATGCAAAACTATTTAATAAATAAAAAATTATATATTATTTTATTTTTTATTATCATAGTGGGCCACTAGACAACCATCCACTATGGCCTACGGCAATCCCTAGGTTGGGGACTTTGTTGAAGGGCTAGGTCACAATTAATTTATATTTTTTGTTTTCTCTACAACAACTTCCACCATGGGACCAAAACTTTTGTCACATGTTTCAGATCTCACGTGTGTGGTAATTCAATCCAACAATGCTTGAGTGCCACATGACCTAGAGCATAAGTTACTATCATTGGGACATCAATAATATTTTTAATTATTATCTAGTAAAAAATACATTATCAATTATCAACATAAGTGACATAAAAAGTCAAAGAAAGTCATAGACACAATATCCATTCTTTTCTCCCTTCATGTGATCAAAGCCTCTAGAAATCAATGAGCTCATCCTTTCCTCCCTCTAATGTTTTCTCTACAACAACTTCCACCATGGGACCAAAACTTTTGTCACATGTTTCAGATCTCACGTGTGTGGTAATTCAATCCAACAATGCTTGAGTGCCACATGACCTAGAGCATAAGTTACTATCATTGGGACATCAATAATATTTTTAATTATTATCTAGTAAAAAATACATTATCAATTATCAACATAAGTGACATAAAAAGTCAAAGAAAGTCATAGACACAATATCCATTCTTTTCTCCCTTCATGTGATCAAAGCCTCTAGAAATCAATGAGCTCATCCTTTCCTCCCTCTAATGTTTTCTCTACAACAACTTCCACCATGGGACCAAAACTTTTGTCACATGTTTCAGATCTCACGTGTGTGGTAATTCAATCCAACAATGCTTGAGTGCCACATGACCTAGAGCATAAGTTACTATCATTGGGACATCAATAATATTTTTAATTATTATCTAGTAAAAAATACATTATCAATTATCAACATAAGTGACATAAAAAGTCAAAGAAAGTCATAGACACAATATCCATTCTTTTCTCCCTTCATGTGATCAAAGCCTCTAGAAATCAATGAGCTCATCCTTTCCTCCCTCTAATGCACTCAAGGCCTTTCACAAAGTCAGCTCATCTTCTTCCACCCCAGAAGATGGTAATAGTGTCACCAATCTTCTTCCTAGTAGATGTCTCTAATGAGCACCACAATGCTTCTGGAGGAAACTTTGGTAACTTATAGCATGGTGTGGCATGTTCAAATGATTCAAAGCCACAACATGACATCTCTGGCTGCTCAAGAGGCAACCCATCAAACAAGCAGCATTTGTTTTCACTTTCAAATAATTTATTTTTATTGTTTAGATTTAAGCATTTGTTTTTACAATTAAAACATTAAGAACTAAGTTTTGAATGAGCGAATGAACTCATTTCCTTGCTCGAAATCTTCTAATCTTCTTATGATACCATTATAAACATCTCTCATTTGTTTTCTATTATTATTCACCATTAACATCAGAAATATCAGATTTTTGTCATTCCATGAATACATTTAAGATAACCAAGATACTTTCTTATTTTCAATGTGTGATAATAGAATTATCTATTGAATAATCCTTCAATGCATTTTCAAAAAAAAATGGGTCAATATTTATGCATGATTTCATATCTCTTGTGTGAAACTTCTAGATCATAATTCATCCGATAAATGTAGTCAACCCAAGTTATGAGTGAAACTAAATCACTGTAAAATAAGCTGATTGACATTTCTCTCTCATTATTCTTCCACCTATCTCTCTCTTTTCCTCTCTTCTATCTAGATTTCCATTTAAATCTGCCTACATTCTCTCTCTATCTCACATTATATTCTCTTTATTCCTTTGTCTTAAATCTCTCATCTTCTTTAGCTCTCGTTGTACTTTAAAATTTTATCTTTTTTTATTCATGATAAAACACTAAAATTACTTTACATTAAAAGGTAAAATTGTTCTCACTACAGATTATTCCTTCTCCCTGAATTTGACCTGAATCTTACATTTATACTAAAAATCACATAAAGTATTAGTTATAAACTTAATTAGAAAATGAGTATTTAAACTCAACATCAAATATTTATCACCTATGGTCTTGTTCTGAAAGTGAGCCATTACTTCCTCTAGTTGCCTCTGCAACTTAGTCACTTTTCTTATGAGTTACTCTCACAATAAAAGATCTCCCTCTTTTGAGCTATACATGATGTAGCCATCTCCCTTATTTGCTCATATAAGGACCTAAGTTCTTCACCCATCGATCAGATAGGGGCTCAATCACTACTGTTGCCACCTAAGTCCTTCCTTGATCTGTGTTAATCAAGCCTCTATCTGCTCTCAAGGGGCATCAATTCCCTCTGTTATCTAGTTTGATAGCACCTTGGTAGATCTCACTGCCACCTCTTGCTAATCTTCTAATAAGACAATTCTCTACTCATTTGTGTGACTCACATCACCCCCTCTTTTTTGTCTCCGTCTCTCTACCAATAATGAAAAAAACAAGGGGACGTTAGATTCTAACCTTTTCAACACTCTAATGCCACTATAACAAGTATGCTGGTCGCACCACACACAATCCTTGTTTAGCATTGAGCAAACCAGTCCTCAACCAGCTCAATGTGACCAAACAAAACTGGATAACTCCAAGGTGACAGACATCTAGTGTAGGGCCTCTATATAGATAGGGCCCTTAGGATGGTTAATCCCACATCTAGTGTAGGATTAATTATCTAATTACTAGATGACGCTATGCCAGTGACATCATCTCTCTCCCTTGCTTTTGTCCTCTATACCAAGTCTCCCTACACCTCCGTCCTGCCAGCGCGTGTAAGAATTGTGCCCCCACCCTTGTGTGCTGTGTTATCAGCACATATACGCTGCACCCCGCCTGTCTATAGTGTGGGGTTTGATGGTGTCAAGGTCTGTCCACATAGGGTGCCCTGGTAACACATTCCCTAGGGGTCTCTTTTATCCTAGGGTTTGAATGATGCTATATTTCATGTTATCTTCGTCTAATCTAGACCTGAAGTCAGCATTCAAAAGTTTTACCCGAGGTCGAATAGTAAAGAGACCCATGGCAATGATATTACAACATGGATCCTCCCGCAAGCCTTTCCTCACGTAACACCTCTTTAAGGTTGTTGCATTTTGGGTAATCTTCAGAGAATCTTTGGATTCTCGTGGACAAAATGAGGGCAATTTATTTTATTAATGCATTCCATGGCGGGTTTGCAAATATGACACCAAATAAGGTAATAAACAGCCTTCAAACAGCACCAGGATTCACCCAGTGTCATGAAAACATATAAAAATGTCCACTTTTTCGTCAAATTTGACTGGCCAGATAAATCAGTGATATAATAGAACGAAAAGTCAACAACCTATGACCATTATCCCCTATGAAAAAAATTCTAAGAATGGATGGAGCAATGATCAAGTGATGACAGATGAATAGTCCCATATGAATGTTCATTGTATCATCATGCAATCTGGATATCTGCTCGCATGATCAAGCACATTATCCACTCCCTGGAAGATTGCCGAGATTTTTGCAATAAGAGAGGAAATTGTCACACTGACCTCCAAAGTTGAGGAGCCAGAGAGAGGAAAAAAGTGGTCAGAGGTAAAAGAAACAGAATTAAAGAGAGATAAAGTCAACAGTTGCTCCCCAGAGAGAGGTGACGCTAGGAATAGATGAAGGGGTGTCCCTCCAGAATAGGTCAAATCTGATCCAGAACTACATCAGCACCAGAAACCTTGAATTCTGAAGGGGCTTCCTCTACATTTAGGTTCTTGATCTTTCCATCTACCACATATGCTGACCACCTGCAGCAGAAAAGGAAACAAATGAGGAGGCTCTTCAGGGGACCATGTGGATTAGACAGAAGAATTGCAGACAAAGAACGTATATTTTTGACAAACTTCAAAAATACCATGACATGAAAGACACGTGCTATCTTAGATAGGCTTGGACTTACCTTTGAGAACGATGTCCAAGCAAAGCAGCTGAAAGATTCAAGCTCAAGTCCAAGCTCTTGTGGAAGCTCCCATCGAAGTCCCCATAAAATTCAATCTAAAATGGATAAAACAGACAAATACCTTGGATTTAGCTATGGGAAGAGAAACGTTGGGACGAAATTATTTGAGCATCCTAAACATTACACCACAAGATGAGAAATATAAATAGAAAAACTTGAATTCCTCATAATTGTGATAACCAAACAAAAATCCAACTTTTGATATTTGAAGGTGCATTAATTGTATAACATGATATCTAATACAGTATCGCACGTCAATTTTCAGACACACTAAGAACCCTAAGTAATGGGTCTTACTGCCATATTACGTGTCTTCTATTTCCTGCTTACTCTATAAACACCCCCCCCCCCCCACACCCACACCCAAAACCGCTGACTGAGTTGTATATCTACAATAATTGCAAGGAAAACGTTGCGTACAGGATGGAGTGGGCTACTATAAATACTTGGAAGCAGCTGAAAAGGATGCTTTCGAGGATATGGTAAGACAAGAAATCCTGTGACAATTGATGGTACGCAGATGAAAAAAGAAGATCAATATGAGCACATGTGCGGTAGGGTACCATTAACAAGAGAAGCCTCTAGAGTGGTGTAGACATGCACAAAATAACTAAGAGGAATCACTATTTAGGAACCTATAAAAGAAAAAGACAAAATAAATTATATGGAGATTACACAGAAAGATAGAAAATCAGGTATTACGATTCTCGTGGCAAATTTTAGTCATTTTTTTCAGTAAAGACTCCTTCACATCTGTTGGGTCCATGTAAAGCCTAACACAACCTTTTCTTTGTCTTCATCATACCTCCACACTTTGCTTTATGCAGCAGGATTTTGTAAGTACACTCAGAATATGTAGGCTAATCTCACAGACCACAGTATAAGGAAAACCATAAGTGAAAGTAGAAAATAATTAAAAGGGCGCTTCATTCCAGATAATGATCAACAGATAGTTTCACTGAGTTTTAAGGAAAGCTCAAAGTGCTCACTCCATCTTTTGCTTGCAGTTTTTCAGCCCAGGCATTCATGACATATGGATCATTAACAGACACACAAATGACAGAGTCAACCCCCTTAGATTTGAACTTGTCAACATTCTTCTTGTAGCTTGGGACATGCTGCTGTGAGCAGACACCAGTGTAAGCCCCCTGCAGCAACCAGTTTTAATCATTTATCCATTTGAACGTAAGAAAAAATAAAAAGACGGTCTTAACAAATAAAGGTTCCCAAAATCATGGCTCTCCGGAAGTGAACCCATCCCAGTGCTTAATACAAAAAGTTATCTAACCAAGCATTAATGGTTTCAAGTTACTCAGAAGATGTATATAATCATGTGCCATAAGAGGAAATGAATCTGATTGAGTTTTGAAGAAATTAGGAGCATGGTTCCCTCTGCAAGGGCTTGCCTGCTGTGACTGGTTACCATGAGTTTGTCAGCCGCATTGTTCTAACAAAGCAGACATTTTCGCCATAAACCAACAAGTCTAGGGCCGAAATTATGGAGGGTCCAATTCTAAATGGGTAGAGAAAAAAAACAGATCTTGATCACCAGTTTTTGTAGCTTGAGTTATAACTCAGACCATTAAGACAATTCTAAATGGGTTAATAAATGTCCAAGTTTCTAGTCACCTGATCCACATGTTCATAGCAAAAGGACGCGTAAAAATTTCCATTCCCTGCTAACAAGTAGCGGTCCCATTTTCCACGAGATCCAGACAATTTAGACTTCTTTCTTCTTACGAAGCTCGAATCCTTAGTATTTGGCCGATGAATTCTAGTACTCATCACTGTAACCTCTCTATTTGGAAGAAAATAACGTCTACAGAAGTTCTTTAGAGAGAGGCGGCTTGAGATATGAGCTCGTTTTGAATCTTTCTGCATTCACCCCATGACTTCTTCTTTACCAGGGGTGTTCTACGGCTCCTTTCTTTCATTTACGTTCAAACGTTATCCAATGGATGGTTATATGGAAATAATCCACATAGCTATTGAGAAAACTTAAAAGCCAGAAACCTGTGGGGACGTTTATTTTCTTCCGGATATGTCATGATTGGGCTTGGCCTAATTACCCAGTTGCATCTATTTTTGTCCTTTCTTAAAAAAATGCAATATCATACACACCGCCGAAGATGATCCTCTAAACATTCGAGTCCAAGAAGTTCCCGAAAATTCCAAAAGAATACGAACCCTTTATTTGTTTAACTCTTTGGGAAAAATTTATAGATAACAAGAATATGTAGTTGGGAACCGTTGTGCTGGTTGAATTTAAAAGAACAAATAAGATATCCCACAAGTAAACATAGGAAGAGTAAAAACAAATTCACGTATATGTATTCTTCTAAAATTCTGAAAGATTGAAGAATGGAACCTAATATTCTAGGAGAAAGACAGAAGAAGGGACGTTGAAGAAGTGAACTCACGGGCAAGCCAAAGATGACAACTTTCTTCTCCTGAAAATTTCCATCAGAGGAAAGAAGGATCAGAAGAAACCGTGAAATCGACGAATTAAAACAGAAAAGAACGAGAATCGGAAACTAGGATGAGTAAATAACGGGAAGGGAGGAAGAGAGCTGCGAAAACCTTGAAGATGTCCTTGAGAGGTGTAGTGGAGAACTGGGAAGAGACCCCCTCATCCCATGACCGCGCCTTCTGGAGGGAAACACCCGGCGCGGCCTCCACAATGTCGCTTCCGGCCGATACAGCAAACCCCCTCGTCATCGCTGACCACCCACTGCCGGCTGCGACAGCGCTCCTGTCGAGACGGATCCCCATACATCGGAGCGCCCTTGCCACCGACGGCCGCAACGTCCCCGCCGCTGCCATCTCTCTATCTCTGTCTGAGTTCTCGCTGTTCTTCCGGTACTCTGTCGGTGGAATTTCTACCCTTCGTACGTCCAACCCGACAAGAGACTTTGGGTTAGTTGTCAAGCTCGTGATTACTGATAAGGAAAAATGAACCCAACAAAGGCAATGAATATTTTTCCACGGTGAAGATTTAGACTTATAGCTAATTAGCCTTACGACATATGATCATTAAATATAAGTTTTCATGGCTTTTATTAAACATAATAGTTTTCAATTTTTTTACAAATTTCATAATGTGACTTGAACCTTCAGAATAGTTGCACTAAATAGCCTTGAAATTATTTTGAAAGAATTTTATATATCTGAATTTATAATTTATAATGAACGTAAATGTGATTTACCATATTTACATTTTACAGATGTCTAACTAACCTTACGACATATAATCATTAAAAAAGTTTTTATGGGCTTTATTGAGCATAATAGTTTTCCTTTTTATTCAAATTTTGTTATGGGATTCAAACCTTCAGAATAGTTGCAATAAATAGCCTTGAAACTTTATAAACATTATTTTGAAAGAATTTTATCTATTTTGAATTTATAACTTATGATGAATAAAAATGTGATTTATCATACTCACATTTTACACAGAGGTCTATCACAAAGGGAATGATCATTAAAAGTTCGAATAATTCTTGTGTGAAGTTGAATGGAAGTATTTTCCTTGAAAGGATAAGAACATAGAAGGTAACTTAGATGTTAATGTGAATAGGGAGAGGTGCCCAGCACCATACGGTTATGTGCATTAAGAGAGAGAGTTTCTAGGTTACTTGAATGACTTTATTAAAAGTATTTATAAGAGATTAAGCCATGAAAACCCTCTTAAATAATTTGTTCGTAAGAAGGTTACTAATGTCATGTAAAAGAGCAAGTAAATAAAAAACCTATAATTTTCATGAAAGGGTTCTCCACTTAATGTGCGAAAGTTAATTGATATATCACAACGCTTCAATATTGGGATTAATACGATAATTAAACACCATTAACTATTTTCCCTAATTGTTCAAAGAAATCAAGAGAGCAGCAAAAGTGTTTGGAAAGGGGTTTTTACATGCTTATAGTTCTATTCCACATCCAAAAACACCTTGTCAAAATTTATTCTCGCTTACCCTAAAAATATTATTATTTCATGATATTTCTGTTACACACGTCCATGAATCTTGAATGAACACATTCCTTGTTTTACAATTTCGGGGTAAAAAGACTACTATCATCTGAATTATCCTATTAAGAAAATATTGTAAAAATAGGTCTTATGTGTCCTGCTATTTTCAAGAAGACGTTAAGGGAGAGGTAATTTATTTGACCCTTTGAAATAATGAAAGCAAAAACCATGCTACCTTTGATATTACTCAAACTTTTAATTTAAGATTTAAATATAATCATTGTATTCATTTAGTTATTGATGTCCTAAAGGTGCAAAGTTGTACCTTTTATTACCAAAAATATACAAGAGAAGGAAAGCTCCAAAGAAATGACCTAGTAGATGAAATGGATATATGTGATGGGTGCTCTTTCATTTTAAATTCATCACTTTAAATTCATCAAATTTATTCATCTACCTTGGCATCTGTTCTTTCATTTTTCTATGCTTCAACTGGAAAATACTTCCCCAATTCCCCTCTTCACAACCTTTCTTCGATGAGGAGGGGGTTTAACCTCGTAAAAAAACCCTTCAAACCATATTCTTCTCATCATGAGCATAACACATATCACACCTACATAATCCATCATACAATATTTTGTAAAATAATGGAACTTCAAGATTTTCTTTGCATCCTCCTCCATTGCATTCAGCCGACTTTGTTGGAGGGAAGAAAGATCTTCCACTTAATTTCCATTATCTTTGAAACCGAAGGGACGGTCGCCATCTCAGCATGGACAGCTTGTTGAGGGGCAGTAAACTCATAGCCAGCCATGGGATGCAAGAAAAGGGATGAAACCATGCAGTGAAAGGAAGAAACAGATACGGAAAGATCTATCTTCCTCAGCAGGAAGAAAGGCTTTTTCTTACGAAAATTTCTACTATTCCTCAGTTCATGTAATTGGGTATGTTCCAACTTTTATTGCTGCAACAGGGCATTGTTGGACGGTTTCCACTGACAGTTTATAAGAGAGTTTAAAAGAGTAGTTTAGAGAGAGAAACACGTCAGTTTCTTCCTTTACATGCAGGTACTTTAAGATACACCAACTGAAAGAGGAGCTGTTTCACAAGCTACCATCACTCCCGTTTCTCGCACTATATATATCCATGCACGTAGCTCCCACGGTCATCCAACCCCTTCTCCTACAAACGCCATCAAATCGACTTGACAATGGCAAGCGCACCGCTCTGCATGTTCTTCCTCCTCTTCGCATGCGCCGCCGCCGCCGCCGCCGACGGCATTCCTCAGCCACCGTCGCCGCCGGGCTTTTTGAGGCAGCGTTCCGAGGCGTTTGAGCTGCCGGGGCTTGGCTTCACCATCCCTCGGGCGGCGCTGCGGGACCCGAAGATCAAAACCTGCTGGAAGTTGCTGCTGCAGAAGAAAACCTGCGTCACCGCCCTCTACAGCATGGTGCAGGGCGGCGAATCGGGGCAGCTCGGCGAGGACTGTTGCCGGACCTTCAAGGGCCTGGCCGACGGCTGCATCCCCGACATGTTCGGCATTCCTCCGCCCTTCTCCAGTCTGGTCCCCGGCGTGATCAGGGAATCCTGTGTGGCATACGCATGACGAAAACCACGGAGGTGAAGCATTGAAGGAAGGAAACCCGAGGCCGCCCTGCATGCTCTGTTTTCTCTTCAGAATGATTGAAGATGAATGAAATCTTCGGATGAGGTTTCAGATTCCCAGTTCTTTCTTTCTTTGAGAACGATGACAACAGCAACAACAATAATAATAATCATAATAATAATAACTAACAAAGACCCTTTTACGTTCATCACCAGAATATGCACTTTAGATGGTGCATATTTGAGGTTGACCTAAAAGTAGATCGAGAATTGGCGATCCAATCCAGACAAACTCTAATCCATGTCCACATGAGGAAAACATAATCTCGGATCTCTGAGATCTTGAACGTTTATATCCTCTGCGGAGCCACCAGAAGGGACCAAAGAGGCAGGCACATGAAGGTGCTCCATGCACACCTTGTCGTATGCATCTAGAGTTAAGCCCGAAGCTAGGAATAGCTCTAATTCATCAACGAAGCGGTCTGTTCGTGTGGATAAGAATGATCTCGCAGCATCAGACACTAATTTCTTGAACTCTCCCCGCTTCTCCTCAGGTGGTTGAAGGTGATGCCCCTTTGGCTGTCTGGGGAAGTCAGCGAAAAATTCATAAAAATGGATAAGAATTTTGCAACTCAGGAATAGAAATGAAAAGATTCACGTAAAGTTCCAAAGAATTCAATTAAAGTGTTGCAGTCATTCAGCCTAGCTTATGTAAGTGGGACCAAAAAAGTTGCAGTCATTCAACATCAGAATGGGATGATTCTACATAAGTTAAACCTAGCTTAATTATCCATAAATAGAATTTGAAAAGAATAATGCAAGAGCATATTTTCGATCCCAATGGTGAAGAAATATATATGACGGATGTCCAGCTACCTTTTAAAAAACGACTCGATCAAACCAAGTACATGATACATAATAATTTCAACATCCTCCTCCTGAAATAAAAAAGTATGAAAATTGAGTGCCTCTGTAAAAAAAAAAAAGAAATAGAAAAAAACAGAATTTAAATGGTCAATCCTCTCCATTTCGTGCGGTCAACAAATCATAGATAAATCTTATTGTAAGCAGAGTATTGTAGTCATTGAAAGGAAGAATAGACAAATCACAAATATTTCAGAAATACCAACTAAAATAAACATATTTACTCCTCATCTAGGCAAAAATTACGCCTGGAAGAAAAAAATTGGTTAAGCTTGCCCCTACCCAGTGCTCATCCAGGTCAGGCCTGGCTTTGTTGGGGAAGAGTATCACCATCACGCTTCCATGTGTGGGCAGCCCATGAACTCCCACCCTACATTCACCAACCTCTTTCTTCCCTTTCCCTGCACAAATCTCCCCAAATCCCAATGCAGTAAGCCCATCCCCCCCTAAAAGCACTTTCCATCAGTTCAGATCCTGCTGAAGGCAATTAAGTAGCTTGGCACCTTGGATTTACAAAACCAACCAATGAACTAAGCTCAGCTGATCACTGATTTGACCGACTACCTCTTGATACATGCGCCTTGCACAAGGTCATGGATACATAGGTTTCTATCACTCATTTGTTAGTTTTTCCTGTTCGCTCCTCTTGTCATCAATCTTCACTCTGTTAATAGTTACCACGTTGAGGGATTACGTACATCCCCACAGTTTTACTCGAATTCTCCGAGGGTGATCTGCTTGTATCTCCATGGCGTGTAGTCTTAAATCAACCAAAAACTTCTCCGAAATGATAGCTTAAACCTCATGTTACACATGGAAGTTACTAAAAGCTATGCTTTGGATGCATATCAGAGTATGAGCAAAAGTAAGAAATCTTTGAGGTTAAATATAATCAATAAAAACTTCTTTGTCGTGAGTTAAATTATTGTCAAAAATTCGAATTCTAATAAAAATCAGATGGAAACAACAAAGAATAGAGAATAAAAGACTAGTTAGTAGTGTACCTAGTAAATCCATATGCCATTAAATACCATCATATTGACTAAATGAGTGGGAAAGAGAAGACTAGGGACCTGAAGAAGAGTCTGAATCTCCCTTCTCAACCAAGCTTGAAGGAACCGATTTTCTTGGAGGTACCTTCGGCTCTTCCAAAATGAGAGAGGATCAAATTTGTGATCCATCACCCCTGCAGCAATCTATTATCTTCATAAACACAGTAAAACCGATAGAAGAAGGAAAAATCCACAGGAAAACAAAGAAGACTATATTCTATTTACCAGGTTCGATGTCATAGCATTGCCATCTAACTTTATGAGCTCTTGTCAAAAAGCTACAGAATCGGAGAAATTGAATCAATCCCAATTAAATGGAATAGCTTAGTGGGCTATATATTCATCATATATTAGACTGCAAAGTTGAGAAAATTGGACAGTTTGAATGACTGACCTGCTCCCTAGAGCCTCGTTCACATAATGCCGCTGAAAAGAATTTCCACTTAGACCATATATAATGGAGGAATTCTCTCTCTACAAGAGACAAAAGTATGTCAGCATAATAACAAAATACTCATCAACTGTAGTCACAGCAATGAAAACAATACTCCTACCAAGGTCTTTACGTAACAGAAAAAAAACAATAAGAAGGATCAGAAAGAATGTCACATAAATGAGATCGAGAGATTACATATATTATTTTCTTCATGAACATAAATCCTTAAACTGGTTCACGGAACCTTTTGGCATGGAGAATGGCAGTTTCAAATCACAAGATAACCGAAATATTGGGAAGATGAGAAATATCCTACATTGCAGAAAGAATTAAGCGAGTTTCACTAAGTTAATTAACCATATATTCCAGCATCCCCTGTCCATGTTCCATAGCTTATAGTAAAAAGTTCACTGTAGGGAATGGCCTAGCAGCACTGTGTAGAAGATTGTTCGTTAATTATAGAACTAATAACATATATGTACATCTTTGAAGGATTCTACATGACCACAGCTCCCAAACTAACATATCCGATCATCTGTTTGTGGATCGCCATTATATTTTCTTAGGGCGAAAAACTCAACTAAAGAAATGGCCCACAGCCCCTGGCCTAACAACAAGATGAGTCCTGGTTGAAGCCTAATTTTAAAACTATTTAAATTTAGCTTAAATTTCAAAAAAATATATTTAAATGGCAATAAAATTACTCGTGAAAAATGTTAATACTCGTGAATAATCCCTATAATTGAATATATTTTAAAAAATCGAAAATTAAATTAAATTAAATGTTTAAAGGTAAGGCACAATGCCAAAATTAAAATGGCCATAAAGTGAAAATGCATTATATTTGGTTGTTCACGAAGGGGCAATCACATTTTATCCTTCACAATTGACAATTCTTATTTTGATCAAATGCACTTCACGAATGATTTTCACATTCCATTGACTTTTCAGCTTTTACCATTCCACAGCTGGCGATTTGCAGGCTTTTCCTCTTTGGCTTTTCTTGCCAACATTAGTCACTCTCACTAAGGAAACTGTCCACTGACACCTTGCTAATTTTCACCATGACCAAAATCTCAGTTACATCAAAAAGGGAACTAATGGCATTGGTGCCCTCTCTTGGGTATTGATTCCCCGCATATTACTCAGGTCTCTCCTTGTTGAGGTGTCTCTATTAACATAGCATGCTCCCTTATCCTTCAAGACACAGAATCAATGTCTCAATGTGTACATCTTTTCAGTCTAAAAGCATTAGACAGAAATATTGAGGATATATTTAAAATATTGACAGGATGTCAGAATTCTTGCCCATCTAGTTATAATGAAAGACGGTAGATATACCTCCTGGTCATAATCATCTGGGATATATCGTGGGGGATAGGATTAGTGATTTGTCTCATCACAGAATACCATAGGCATATGAAGGAAATAGCCACGATTGACTGTTCAAAGGAAATCCTAAGGAACTGACCTGATCATAGTCATTCAATGATGCTTTGAATGCTTAGGTTAGCTAGCCAGGCTTAGGCTTATGTCAGTTGTCAACAGTGGAGGTGTCGTCTGTAACTTGGTTTGCTTGGACAGATCAACTCACGCAGGGGGTAAACTGAGTTATAGCCCATGTCTAGGAAAACTTAGGTTTATAAACTGAGAATGCGCATTTAGTCCCATTTATTTGTTTTCTAAAGTTTCATATCAAAGAACTGTGGCTTTCACTGCCTTCAAAAAAAAGTAACAATGAGTCCTCCAACCAATTCTACAGTTTTGCATTGCTTTTCGAAAATGGGCATGCAATGATATTTGACTATCGACCACCAAAACTCAGTATATGTATGTATTAACTGAACAACATTATATCAAACAATATATGATGGACTCAAAATTATCTGAATACATAGCATGGATCATATCATTGTCTGTTCAAATAAATGGTGTTAATAGAATCAGCCTTCACGCATGAGGTTAAACTATAAAAGAAGGAAATACAAACAGAAAAACATGCTCAGCACAGCAAGTGGGATTAATTGTTGTTTCTGAAATGCTGACTAGCGGCATTCTAGAAAGAGAGTTTCAATCTCACGCAGCAATGTGCTAAAGTTCTGGTATGGGGAAACCTTGCACAAAGGGCACTTGATTGACGAAACTGACCGCGAATGTTGGCGAGAAACATATCTGGTCCAACTTGCAATGCAGCAATAGCAAAAAGTATCTGAAAAATGAAGATGGAAGAAAATAAATCAATTTAAACCAGACTTAATTAAGATTTAATTGTGCACCGTCAAGGTTTTAATCACACTGATTCTCCCCTCATACACTAAAATAAGAAAATGGTGGTGTATGCTAGATGTAAGTATTAAGTACCCCGAATGAAATATGAAGATCTACCATCTGTTCACACAATTGATAACTGAGCTTATCAAAAGATATAGATGACAAATGATGTTGTATTATTATAACCCATTCACAAGTCTAGGAATTTTCTGAAGGCTCGCCCAATTGCATAAGGTTTAATTAAGTACACAACAAAAAGGATAATATGTACATCTAGCCTCATGCATTCTTGTCCCCATTGATAGATACCCCCCATCATCCTCAACGCGGCTGCTATCATGATAGCAGTTGATCATAAAACCTCGTTAATCCCTTTAGGCTTCAGTAGATCTATGCAACCTTTATTGATAGCGTAAGGATTATGATGATCATGATTAGCTCATCACGGTGAAAATAATGATGATAAGTAACGATGCAGCAAAATGATGGCAGTTAACTCAAACCACAGGTAAGTCAATTCAAAGAATAGATAGCACAACCTAGCACAAAAGAGGGAAGATATCACAAGGAAGGGAGCGTATGCATGAGAAATGCATCCAAATCCAAGGCCCCGCTCAGTATTCCTCAAGTTATGAGGAAAATCAGGGATCTCATCAGGAAAACAGGATCGAGAATATGCAGAAAAATTAGGCAGAAATATACAATAAAATCAAATGAACAATCGGTAATGCTCAAAGGAGTTTAAAATCAGGGGATGCAAGTTCAAAAACAGAAAGGCATCATTGTTGGATACTAAAAAATGAGGTATCCCCACAAACCAATGCAAGATGGCGGCATATGTTTTACAAAGCTGAGTCCTGATGCCAGGGTGTCACGGCCACCGTCAACAGCCAACAAACGACTGTGTTGGTCGACGGCCGGGACAACCCCGTGACAACCCTGCCAAGGTCTGCGCCATCGATGGGCAGCCAGCTGCCCATCCGAGTTTTCATTCCTCAGACTGACGAACTACCACCGGAGCTAATCGATGGGCAGCTAGCTGCCCATGGGGGCTTTACCGTCTAAATAGGAGGATCTCAGATATTATTTTAGAGCAAAACCATATGATCAACGCAGCGACCATCCAATCGATCGAGGAATCAAACTGGCCCAAACCGAAGCGGAAGGAGTCACGCAGCCTGACCATATTTTTTTTCCCAACAGCGCAAGGAAGACACACAAACAAGGATCCACAACGAGGGAAAAAAAACAAGAAGAATCTCATTAGCGATGTTTTTTAAAAGATCAATCCGCATTAGCGGACAACTCTACCAGTAAATTCAAGCTCCAATCCGGGGTCCTAATGAATGCACGCCGTAGATGCCCCCATGTTCATATTTCATACCCAAATCGGAAACTGAAAATCAAAAGCGCGAGAGGGAAGGAAGGATGGAAGGAGAAAGGACAGCGTCAGCGACGAGTGATGCGATGAAGTCTTACGGAAACAACGGTCCAAGTAGGCTTCTTGCTTAATGGCTTCAAGACAGATGGGGCAACGGTTGGGATCCTCGTAAGAGGAGGAGGCGGTGGGAATTGAGGTGGCGGAGCTGGTGTTAGCATCGCTCTGTCCCCCGTCCATCCCCGGCTGCAATTCCCACTGCGAGCAAGGCGCCGAGGATTCAGCTAGAGGTAGAAGAGATGTCTCAACCTTTCCACGCGGCTTACATCTACAACACGTGGACTGCCACGTGGACGTCGAATCCTGTCCGGTTAACCGAACCGAAGAGTTGCTCGAAATTATTTTCTATATGGGTATTTAGAAGACAACGTTTTTTGACATTTCATTTCAAGAAAAATATAGATAAATAAATAAATAATTTTAAATTGACTCAGACCATCAATATAGCCTTACCATTGCCACTAATTATTGATTTGGTGGGTAGTAAGACAAATGATAGTCACACGTAAGCAATGTGAAGTGGCACAATGGACATGTGGAACATTCACAGCAAGCATGCTCGGAAAGGAGACAAGTGGCTGACTAGCAGAGATGGAAATTAGAGTTTCAAGATTGAGCGCAATGAAAAAAAAATGAATTAAATTTAAATTAGGGGAATATCCCATTTGGGTGGCAAAGCTCTTGATCTGATTTAGTAAAGAATAGACAAGGATATATGTATAATTGAGCCTAAATAGATTCTTAGTAGCATTGACATTATCAATATTGTCTTTTTTTCTTGGCTTTTGGAGCCCTATGTGTTTTAATGTGGCAAAAAGGCATAGTACATACAAGGGTAAAGAGGATATTTTACATTATCATAAAATTATTGTTGTGACTAAAACATGTTATGATTATGTTTTACTAGTTTTTTTTAAAATTCTCACAAAAATTTCGCATTGCATAAAGATGCGTTGATTATAAATCATATTTTAAGAAAAATGAATGATTCATTTTGAAGGTTGTCAAATTTTTATGACATAAAAAATGTAATTCTTAGATATCTATTTGAGAAAAGAGGAAATTCTTTTAGGTCCTTAATTGGTTAGATAAATCAAAGGGGTTGCATTGATTTTCATTTTTTAATTCAGTATTTTTCTTTTATATGTTAACATCTATCTCAATTACATATCTATGTTAATATATAAATATAAAATATATATATATATATATATTGTGCACATTAGATTTTATAGTAAATCTGACCTATATCTACTTTTGACAACTCTACCTTGATTCTAACATTCAACCATCATAATAAATTTGATTTTATAGTAATGACGAACCATTTATATTCACAAGTGCTATGAGCCTATGAGCTTTCAACCTAAAACTCTAACCTTAGAATTCTTAAATTCATCAGTCTCCTTATTGTATGCACATCACAAGTGCCACAATAGTCTATGTGACTATGTTGACGACACACCACAAGTGTCTCAAACAGTTTATACATCACAAATAAAATAAAAATAATTGAATGAGTGTACTACAACTTTCCAAATCTTGTTAAAGGTGTTCAGAATTTCTAAGCTGAAAAAAGAAACTCTTGAGAGAGATGTCCACATCTCCCTTGAAGTGATCAAATTGATAGCACCCCCTCTTTCCATGGCCTTACATGAGAGAGAGAGAGAGAGAGAGAGAGAGAGAGAGAGAGAGAGAAAGAGAGAAAGAGAGTGGGGGAAATAAGTATTGCACAATAATATAAATCCAAAGAGTGAATAGAAAAAGTATGATAACAAAGGAAAATGATAAAGAGAGCAATGGAAGGGGTGGTGTTGTGGAGGAGATGAGGGAGGTCACTTAAAAAAGACTGTTCCCCAAGTCTCTCTTTTGAGAATGACTCCCTCTCTCTATAGGTTCTAGGAATTCTTACAAGATGGGCAGTTCTCCCCACATCTTGTGTAAAGGTTGTCACGTCCCACTCAAGCATTGTTGACTACTGTTGTTATTATTCTTGCCATTGGTCACAGTTATAATTGCCAACATTAGCGGTCATTACCATTGTTCCTTCTTTGTCCTTGGCCATATGAGTCTTTTTAGAATAGATAGTAGATGCTAGGGTTGTATCAATACTTCCTCTCATGAGTTTCACCTTGTCCTCAAGTGAAAACTTTGAGAATTGGAGCTTGAACTTTTGAGAATTCTTCCATAAATCTTTAGAATCAAGGACGGTATCCCATTGAACTAGGTTGTTGAGCCTATGTGGGCTCCTATTAGGTTAAAATTTCTTTTGGGGTCATCTACAAAGTGAGGTTTTCATCTAAATCCAAAAAATGAAGCTTTGTAGAATCTAACCCTCTAATGTCCCTTTGCAATTATGAAAATATGGACAACCAAGTGGATGCTAGTAGTGGGGGTAATTCCAACCAATATGTAACTAGGCCTATTAATAACATATTGATTATCATGCAAGAAGAGTAAGAATTATCTTATTCAAGAGCTTAAATCCTATGATCTAGCATGTTATCATATTAAAAAATAAATCTTTATTATTTCTTCAAATTTTCTATGAAGTTTAATATTTTAGAGAATTTTTCAAAAAAAATCTATTAATTTTTATTGTCATAATTTATTTTCATAAATTTTAAAAAATGATTTTTTTTATGATTTTTAGGAAGTCAATAAACACTTCTACGAACAAGATTTGATCTAAAGATGATGCAACAAAATCAAGGGCCAAGGCACTAACATATAATATCACCAAATGAGGAGATGAGAATCCGTCAAAAGTGTCTATATGACCAATGGCACATGGAGCATACTTACCAATGGTGTAGCGAATCTTAACATTAAGGAAAATCCTACAGCTATAACAAGGTTTCAAATCCAACACTTCAGATCAACCGAGAGGAAACCGATTCTCACCTCATCTTATCACGACCAAAAAGATGAAAGACCCTCACTCTCTCACAGCCCTAAAACAAAATGATGTCAAATGAACCAACTCACGAGAAGGCATATATCAGCCCTACACTAGTAATCTTGTACTATTGTGTAACGCTTACATATTTAAGTTGCCATTTAGAGGTAGAAAACCTAACTTCAAATGCCTTGACATTTAGTCAACTTGAATAAAATAATTTGCAGCTTAAATTATTAGAGAACCATACTCAAAGAGGAAACCACCTAACATTGGTGAAATATAGAGGCCCAAGGTAAATTTTTCTAGGTCTAAAGCATTATGTGCATGAACAACCATCTAGGTACTCATAGGTTTGAGATAGATAGTTTTACATTTTTGACTTTACATTGTGATTCTTCCATGAGTTTTTCTCCTCTCCATCATCTTCTACATCGTTAAATTTCTATTTTCTCTCTTTTTTCAATGTTAAAAACCCTTCTATTTATCACCATCTCTTCTTCTTAGCATTCATCTCATCTCAATATATCAATTAAAAGAATAGTAGCTACCTATCATCTCATTCTCATTCCATGTTAATTGACCTCAGCTTATCATAGTACTCACTTGTTTTAGTATTTTACTTAGGTAATTTCAAGATTCTAAATATTTTTGGTCAACTAATTTTGGGACATTTCAATGACCCTCAATTTTTTTTTATCAAATGGCACTTTTGCGAGAGAATGACTATTAGACGTGATTAGTTTTTTAATTGAATTTAATTCACATCCATTATTAGTTTTAAATAAGAAATTATCAATATTCATGTATTGATAGGTCTACTGTTAAAAATTTTCATAATATGTTGTCAAGATAGTTAGATAAATCCTTACTAAAATAGAAGTTGTAGTGTTCATTATATTTATTTTAATCTTTTAAGTTGATATTTTTATGCTGAATTTACATTTTTTAATTTTAATTATGCAAGGTGAAAGTGTTTTGATATACTTAGTTTTATTCATAGTTACTATTTCTTATAGTTTTCTTCTTTCTCCTTTGTCAATACTTATTTAGCCATATTCTATGAAAGGTTGTAGATCCCTAAAAAACTTTTTCATGACCCCTGAACAAAATCAGATCGAAACATCTAACTCAAACACTTTAGACAATCCTACACCAGAAGAAAATCAAATGGCCCAACAAAACACAAATAATGAGATAATGAGGCTCAAAGATCATTCTATCCCACTCCAATGTTGCCAATAACTAGAGTGAATGCACCTATAGGTAAGGGGGTGAATTTAGAGTAAATCATCATATTGTGCAAATGTTATCTAATTTTTATAAAATGAGTCATGAAGAACTATACAAGTACTTAGAAGATTTTTCTCAAGTATGTGAGATTTCTTATTATCTCAATGTCCCATGGAAGTGATCAAAATGAGACTGTTTCCTTTTACCCTTAAAGATAAAGCAAAAGAGTGAATTAGAGCCCTAGCCCAAGATTTAAATTCATGAGGTGAAATGGAGACCACTTTCTTAAAAAAATATTATCAATAGGGAGAACTAATGCCATAAGGAAGGCATTAAGAGATTTTAATCAAAGAATACAAGAATCATTTTATAAGGCTTGAGAGAGAATGAAAGAATATACTAGACAATGTCTCTAGTGGGATCAAAAATTGGCAGCTAATTGAAATATTTATGAAGGATTAAGAGATAAAGATAGACACATGATTGGTGCTACTAATGGTAAGACATTTATGAACAAATTCAATGATGAAGACTTAGATTTAATTAAAATGTTGGTTAAGAATAATGCTCATCATATAGCATTAAATCAAAATAGAAGGCAAATAAGGCCTAGAAGAGGTGGAATGATTGAAACAGAAGCTATTGAATTCAAAATGTTCTTAGAAAAGTTTGATAAATTGACTAAAGATGTAAAAGCTTTGATGGGCAAGTCATCAGCAGCTCTTGCTCAAGTTTTTGAACAACCCATACATGACTAAGATATGACCGCATGTGCCATTTATTCTAGTTATGAACATGTAGAAATAGTGTCCTAGATATGAAAGGTTGATGACTATAACTGATAGAGTTAGACCCCCTCAACCTATTGCTAGAAAACTCATGGTCAAAAATTACACCTCAACCTCTTGGCTACACAATATTATAAAAATTACAACAACCATAATAATAAAAAAATGATAATACGTATTAACCATCAATTTCCCATCAAATAACTCAAAATTTCCAACAACAAGCTCCCTTCTAGCAAATTTCACATCCACTGAATTTT